GACCCTCCTCTCGCCAGTGCCCCTGATCCACGAACCCACTGCGGCCCTCAGGTGCTGGGAGAGTCTGAGCGGTTCCTGAGCCAGGTGCTGGGCCGGGTGCAGCGACTGCTGCCGCCTGCACAGGTGCAGGTGCGCAAAATGAAGGCCGTGTACCTGGCACTGAACCAGTGCAGCGTGAGCACCACACACAAGTGCCTCATCGCTGAGGCCTGGTGCGCCTCCCGGGACCTGCCGGCCCTGCAGCAGGCGCTCCAGCTGGGCTCGGTGAGTGCTTGCGGCCCGCCATTCCCTCCCCACCCCTCACGGTGCCCAGCAGGGTGGAAAACCTTTCTCCTCCCCACATTCCCTGCCAAGTCTCCCTTGCTTGAGTGGGGAGGGGGCTGCCCTGGACCCTCCACTCCCATGCCCCACTGAGTTTGTGTCTCCCATGCTGCAGAGTGAGGCAGGAGTGAGCGCCGTGGCACACCGCATCCCCTGCCAGGACATGCCCCCCACGCTCATCCGCACCAACCGTTTCACCGCCAGCTTCCAGGGCATTGTGGATGCCTATGGTGTGGGGTGCTACCAGGAGGTGAACCCTGGTGAGAACCATGGTGCCCGGACCTGGGCAGGGCCAGCCGTCCAGCCCGGGGAGGGTGGTCCCCCCGTGCATCCCTGTGTGTTTCCACACCGGCCTGCTCCCTGCAGTGACATCCCTCAGGGGTGCTGGTGCCCTTATTCCACTCTGCTGAGGGTCAGGAGCCAGGGACCCTGGACCAGCTTGGCCTCTGTCCTCCTGTGGTTCCATGGCTGATGCTGTGGTTGCCAGCGCGACCTACTGATACTCATGACACGTTTGTTGTGCGGCTCATAGAGGTGAAGTAGCTGGCCCAGGTCACACCACTCACCTGTAGCTTGCTGGGGCCCACAGGCCAGTGTTGCATCCACCCACCTGCTGGCTAGGGCTGTGTGGGGTCCAGTGTGGCACCCTGGGCTGCAGGGAGCAGATGCCCTGGTATCTCCCGACTGGTCCCAGCGCAGCATGTGCCCTGTACTCCCACAGCACCCTACACCATCATCACCTTCCCTTTCCTCTTTGCCGTGATGTTCGGTGATGTGGGTCACGGGCTGCTCATGTCCCTCTTCGCTCTGGCCATGGTGCTGGCGGAGAACCGGCCGGCGGTGAAGGCTGTGCAGAATGAGGTGTGTGCGGGTGTGGCCAGGGCCAGCAGGGCTCAGCGGCAGCGTGGCTGGGGCTGGTGGGACTTGGCCTGCCCCAGGGTAGGGCACGGCTGGGCTGGCACGGGTGTGGCCAGGGCCAGCAGGGGTGTGGCCTAGCCCAGGGTGGTTGTGACCAGTCCCCGCCCCCCGTCATGGTGCCCGTCCTGCCAAGATCTGGCAGACCTTCTTCGGAGGCCGCTACTTACTGCTGCTCATGGGCCTGTTCTCTGTCTACACGGGCTTCATCTACAATGAGTGCTTCAGCCGTGCCACCACCATCTTCCCCTCCGGCTGGAGCGTGGCAGCCATGGCCAACCAGTCTGGCTGGAGGTGAGGCCTGCGGCTCCCCACTTGGCCTGCCGCAGGGACCTCGCTGCCCCTCGTGGGGCCCCTCACTGCCTGCACTCTCGCCACAGTGACGCCTTCCTAGCCCAGCATCCCTTGCTCGACCTGGACCCTAATGTCACCGGCGTCTTCCTGGGACCCTACCCGTTTGGCATTGACCCTGTGAGTGGTGGGCACTTGGTGGAGGAGATGGTGGTGAGGGACCAGGTAGGGGGTTCCAGGCCCACCCCTGTCATTCCTCCGTATGCCAGCCTGTGCTGCTTGGGGACAGACGAGGTGCCTGCTTACTGGGCCTGCATTACTGTCACAGCCCATGGGGCAGCCAACACTGTCATGGCCACGGCACAGATGAGAAAGCTGAGGCCCCCCAGCTGGGAGAGCAGGGTTTGGCCTGGTCACCTGACCCTGTCTGTGTCAACTACTCGGGGGGCCGGCAGGGCTTGGGGGTGCCCCGAGTCCCGCCTGTCCTTCCGCTGTCCAGATCTGGAGCTTTGCTGCCAACCACCTGAGGTTCCTCAACTCCTTCAAAATGAAAATGTCCATCGTGCTGGGGGTCACACACATGGCCTTCGGGGTGCTGCTGGGAATCTTCAACCACATGTGAGGGCCAGGGCTGCCTGGGGGAGGGATGGGCCGGGAGTGTAGGAGGGGTGCCCCTGACCCCTGCTTGTCCGCACCTGCCCAGGCACTTTGGACAGGGGCACCGGCTGCTGCTGGAGACGCTGCCCCAGCTGGTCTTCCTGCTGGGGCTGTTCGGCTACCTCGTCTTCCTGGTGCTGTACAAGTGGCTGCGCTTCTCGGTTGACAGATCGGCTACGGCACCCAGCATCCTCATTCACTTCATCAACATGTTCCTGTTCGCTCACAGCGCCACCAACCAGCCGCTCTTCCAGGGGCAGGTGGGCTCCCCAGGGTCAGGCCTGAGGCCGTGCGCGCAGGGTGAGGGACTGGGGGGGGGGCAGCGGTGTCCTCCGTCTGAGACGACCTTCCTTGTCCCCTTGCCTGCAGGAAGTGGTCCAGACCATACTGGTGGTCTTGGCCTTGGCCATGGTGCCAGTCCTGCTGCTGGGCACGCCCTTGTACCTGCTGCGCCAGCACCACCAGCGCTCCAAGATGCAACTTGTGGGCCACCAGGTGGGGGCTGGGCTGGTAGCAGCATGGGCACTGCCAGGAGTGGGCGGTGAGGGAGGCCTGGGTCCCCCTTGGGGCTGAGGGGCTGTGGACGCTGCATCCTCCCCGCACTCCCAAGCAGGACAAGGACGGGCTTCTGGATTCACACGACACATCAGTGAATGGCTGGGGCTCTGAGGAGGCGGCTGGGTGCCCGAGGGGACAGGAGGAGGCCGAGGTGGGTGTCACGTCTGCTTGGACAGGATGTGGCAGGGGACTGTGGCCTGGGCCGGCCCCTCACTGTCCCCGTCCCCACAGTTTGAGGCCTCGGAGGTCTTCATGCACCAGGCCATCCACACCATCGAGTTCTGCCTCGGCTGCATCTCCAACACAGCCTCGTACCTGCGCCTCTGGGCCCTCAGCCTGGCCCACGCCCGTGAGTGCCCTGCCCGGGAGCGGGGTGGGGGATGGGAGCGGGTGCCCACCACCTCCTCCATCCCCCTGCAGAACTGTCGGAGGTGCTGTGGACCATGGTGATGCACCTAGGGCTGAGCATGAGCCGGGAGGTGGGCTGGGCTGCCGTGGTGCTGGTGCCCGTCTTCGCCGCCTTCGCCGTCCTGACCGTGGCCATCCTGCTTGTGATGGAGGGGCTCTCGGCCTTCCTGCACGCCCTCCGGCTGCACTGGTGAGTGCCCACCCCCTGCCTGCCCACCAGGCTGGGGCGGGAACTCCCTTGCTAGCCTCTGCCTTCTACTCCCAGGGTGGAGTTCCAGAACAAGTTCTACGTGGGCACTGGCTACAAGCTGAGCCCCTTCACCTTCGCCGTGGAGGACTAGCGCCCACCAGGGCACATCCCCTTGGCCGCAGCCTTTCCCGAGGCGGGAGCAATAAAGGAGGTGGTGGTGCGGGCAGAGGCTTTTCTGGTTCTGTCTGAGTGGAAGGGCGCTGGGCCTGCCTTCCGCTCACGGGGGGGAAGTGGACACTGGGGAGGACCTGGGCCCCCGAGGATACTTGGCAGTGTGCATGAGTATTCATTAAGGGGGCAAAACTCGGGCCTAGAGAGTAAGTTTCCAGCTCGGAGGGAGGGTGTGCAGGTTGGCTGGGGTGGTGGTGTCCTGGACCCAGTCCCCACTGCACACTGCCGTGGGCTGGCCGAGGAGGCACCACCGTGTAGCCATGCTGCCCAGGTGAGGCAGGGCAGGACAGGACCGTCCTGAGCCTGGAGCCAACTCTAGGCCCTGCTTGATCTACCCGCCTCCCAAATGCTTGGCCTGTTTCCAGAAGTGACCAGTGGGGTGGGCATGGCCTGCTGGGGTTGCCTGTGCTCTGGGTTTGTCCACCACTCCCATGGGCTTTGACTTTTCCAGCTGGTGATTTTGAGGCCAGGGCCTCTGTGAGGGCCCAGGCAGCTACAGGAGGGGCCTGTCTCAGGAGACATGGCTGTGGGATGGCAGGACACCTGGCCGACTTGGCTCAGAGGAACCTTGGTTTGGAATGGGGCCATGGGTGACCTGAAGCAGTCTTACCTGTTCCAGGACGGGGGACGGGGAGGGAGAAGGATGTATGTGTGCAGGGTAAGGGAGCCCAGGTGGTTCTGCCCCCAAATTGGGTTGCCATGGGAACCATATATCTAAAGGCACAGAAGGGCACCCTTTGGGGTTTGGGTGGGACTGCTCAGGCAGGTAACTCAGTGGGCATCTGGCCAGGGGAGGGATGTGTGTGGCATGCCTCAGTGGGCCTCAAGTCCCGGCTTCTCCACTTCCCCTGCACCTTACATTGTTGGAGTCCTGCCCCCCATACAGAAGTCCTGGACACTTCCTGGCTCCAGCTCAGGCTGAGGGAATGTCTGAGGAACGAACCAGTGGATGGGGTTGTTTCCTTTCAAATAAAAGAAAATAAGGAAACCACACAGGGGACCTCTGATCCTTGAGAATCTCAAGAGAAGATAAGATTAAACAGCAAAGGGCTTATGTAACAACAGTCCCACCCCGAGGCCTGTGGCAGCCCAGTGCTGGCACTGGGACCAGAATGTGATATCTGAGCCGAAGCCCTGCCTAGGGCCAGGGCCCAGGAGCACTGGAAGCCCCCAGGACTCTTCCGCCTGTGAGGTCACTTCCTGTTAGGATGTGAACATTCACTGGCTGAAGTCTCCCACATGTAGCAGGGTAGACATGGGAGGCTGCTGCCCGACCCCTGTTGTTTGGGCCAAGGGTCTGAACAGTCTGGAAGGTGAGACCCCCTGGGGTACCCCAGGAAAAGCAGTAATAAAGGGGCCTCTGGGAAAACCAGTGTGGTGGCCCAACACACCCAGGGTTACCAGGGTCCCCCAGCCCCGGACACAGCTTGAGGCATGTTACGTGTTTATTCACAAAGTACAAGTTTGTGAGAGATAGATGCACAAAAATGAAGTTCAGAGTGAGAAGTCTGCCAGGACTCACTCCCCTGGGATGGCCACTGTACAGGGACTTGACAGCCGTCACTGCCACACTCTGTCCCACCAGGCTGCTGCTGCCCAGCGGGACATCAGGGACATCTGGGCTCCAGCCCTGCCCAGGGAGCACCAGGCTCCACCTCAGCAGGGGAGGACTGGGAGGTCACCGCCCGTGGCCAGCTGCAGGTCTGTGTAGGGCTCGAGTTAGTGAGGCACTAGGGGTTAGCGGTCAGGAGGAAGGCGCGGTAGGTTCCGTCCAGTCATGGTGAGGCGCATCAGAGAACAGACCTGAACAACAGGTACCTAGGAGCCACGTCTGCCAGCAGCGCCCAACAGACCGAAGAGCAGCTTCTGGAAACAGGACGGGTGCCCCCTGGGAGATGGCCCATGGTGGGGCTTATGCTGTGGGGCACTTCACAGTATGTCACTCGTTGGGTCCTGGGAGCGTCACCTATAGGAAGCCTGGTCCCAGGGTGGACCCTGTGGCGGTCTACCCTTGTCATGTCTGACCGACAGTGCACCGTGGACCCGAGGAGTCTGAGCTATTGCACTATTTCACCGTGTCTGTCCCCCCACCCGAGTCCTAGTGAGATCGGAACCAAGGCATGAATGCCGCTTTCTGGACTATCGTAATTCCTGCCTGCAGCCAGACTGAGACCCCTGCTGCAGCAGCAGGCGCCCACGCCTGGGAAGACCCGCCAGCAGCTGTCCCGCAGTCCGGTGACGAAGGAGGTGGAGTTCTTTATGCAGTCACACTCCAAGCTTCCTCTTCTGGTCGAAATAGGCATCAAACCTGGCCTGGGCATACTCCTGGAGAAGGCAGAGAAGGCCTCACCACGTGCTCCTGCTTGCTGGAGCCCTGCCCGTCTGCCCTGCCCATCTGCCCACTTGTGCTCCTGCTTGCTGGAGCCCTGCCCGTCTGCCCTGCCCTTCTGCCCACGGGAGGCCAGGCCGGAGGGACCAGGCCTTAAAGGGTTAACCAGCAGAAAGGTGGGCATGTGTGGCACGCTGCTCCCTGCACACCTTTATGTTAAATACATCTGCGAACAGCTGCCACGACTGGCACAAGGCTTCCTCGTGCCCTGGGGTGCTGAGGGCACCCGAGGACCCACACAGTAAGCGTCCTCTGACAGCACAGGTGCTGGAACACGGGCAGACACGAGAGTGCATTAGAGGTCACCACCAGCCCGACTGTCACCCACGCACTGAGGTGCTCTTCCATTGCGGTCCCTGCATGCTCTTCCCTCGCTTCGTGCTGACGCACACCCTGGGCTGAGCAGCTGCAGTTGCAGTGTGGCCCTCACGGAGCCCTGGGCTGAGCTCCCTGCTCCTGCTACAGCCTTAGCTCCCCCCACTTCTCTCTCCCTCTGACAGCGGAAAGGCAGAAGAGTTGGTTTTGAGTCCCAGCAAGCCACTTCCTCTCTAGGTCTGTCCCCCATCTGTCCACCTGCGTGGGGAGCACAGCCTGGTAGAGAACCAACTTCACGCCTGAAAATCCAGTTTGCTAATGCCAGAGGTCCCAACATCACTTTCTGGAAACTTAGTCCATGAGGCCACAGCCATGCCCCAGGTCACTGTGCCCCAACACTGCCAGCACCCAGACAGGACTTCTTCCTCAAAGCAGCACCCTTTCCGGCCTTTCACTCAGCATTATGTTGCTGTTTAAAGGCTCAATGACCCCCTTCCCAGGGCACTGGCAGGAAGCTGGGCCGGAAGGACAGGTGCTGCTCATGCTGGCCCTGCAACAGGGGATGCAGCATTTCAAGTGGCGGCTTACCCCACCCTCAGAGGCCGCCAAACAGGTGCCCACTCCTCTCTTCTGCCAAGGTCCCAACATACTTCACCTGCTGGCTGTCTCCAGTTTGGAAGTGTTAAAAATATAAGGTTGCTGGATTGGTGTTGTGGCATTGCAAGTTGGCATCCTGTTTCCCATCTAGCCCCCTGCTGATGCCCAAGTGCCTGAGCTGCACCCACATGGGAGATACCATGAATCTCCTCGCTGTTGTGGCCATGTGGGGATAGAAGAGCTCTCTGTAACTGCCTTACAAATTATATATGTATAGAAATTATACACGATGATTTACGTTGATTATATACTTAAATAAAAGGCTGCTATTAGCACTTGAGGACCAGTCTTGGTGTACAGACAGGCCCCGAGTGCAGGATCCGCCTGATGAGCAGACGGGTCGTGGGTGTGCAGGTCGTGCTGGCCTTTGGACTGTTGTCCTGCTCCCACGCGCCGTCCCCCTGGGCAGGGCCACGGCGCTCACACCAGCCAGCACTGTGCCGTCAGCTCCTAAAGGGCCCAGCCAGGACTGCGGGTGGACAGGGTGTCCTGCCAGGATCCTAATTTTCATGACTTGATGACTATTTACATTCATTATATTTCTCTGCCTTGAAGTGCTCAGACCTGTGCGTTTAGGAAGTAGGTAACTTGGGCTTCTTGCTGAGTTAGGATTATCAACGTATTCAAGACAAGTCATCTGCCCAGTATAAACTCCATTACGTTCCCCCAATCTGTGACTTGCCTTTCATGTTATATGGTGTCATTCAAACAGAATTGTTCATCTGGATAAGTTTAGCATACTGCAAGTTCTTTTTTATAGGTAACATTGATATAACCTCAGAGACGACCTCATAATGTCCGCTTTTGGTCATCAAGTATTTCTCTTGTTTTCTTAGAGAAACTTCACTCTAGAACTTTCCCATATGACGTGAGATTATTGTTCCCAGGCTCAGGACTTAGTTCAAACTGCCCCAGGCTTCTCTCTCAGCTCCTCAGGCCGAGCCACACTGCCCACACACGGCTGGCCAGATTCAGGACCTCAGCTGCCCTCTCAGGAAGGGCCCCTGCTGCCATGGGAGAAGCAGAAACAGTGAAGACGTACCATGTACCCAAATTCAATGGATGAAATCTTGGCCTGTACAATGGACCAAAGTCCCCAGAAGAAATGGGATGCAAGGGCAAACCTGGAATTACAAGAACAAGAAGCTCACATGAGCTGTGTGGGATCAGTGAGGGGACTGATGAGGCTTTGTGGGGGGACATTTGAACCCACTGTAACTTATCTGGATGCACACTGTCTGCCCGGCCAATCCATGGGCTAGTCTACAGGCACCGAGCACACCGGAAATGCCACGGCCAGTCTCTTCCCACCTCTGGTCAATGAGAGGTGCACCTGCAGGTGTGAGCACCCCAGCTGCCTGGCCATAGCACACAGGATGACATTCACAGGAGGTAGCTGCAGGTCTTGGTGGCCATGCTGGCAGAGAAAAAAACAATCTTGGCGACGCCGGCAGAGAAAGAAACACCTTTGGGCACGAGCACGAGCAGCCGGCACTGGTGGCCAGCAAGCATGCTCCCTCGCTCTGCCAGGAGGACCAGAAGACGCTCTGGCTCCCTGCCCGGCTTCCTGCTTGAATGCCACCCTCACCCCCATCGGCTCCCCACGTCGTCACCTCCAGGTTGCACCCCTACCTCCAAGGGGGCAGTCCAGCTGCAGTCCATGCACAGGGCAGCTGGCTGAAGCAGAAAAAGGAAGAACAAAGTACCTATTGATCTCCACCAACATTGCTTCTTCTACATCTGCTCTCTCTTCACTTCTGAGGTTTGCAGAGTTGCTCTGGAAAGCAGCCAAGTAACTGGAAATGAAATGGAGCTGAAGAAAGAAAAGTAACTGTTAGCTAAGCCCAGTGGTGATCTAACAGGGCCCTGTGGCTGTGCCCGGGGGAGGACTCGGGGTGAGGATGGCCAGGTGCCTGGCTGCTGCTGGAGAAAGGCCTCAGGCACCTCTGTCCCAGCCCCATCTCCAGGCGGGGTCCACTTATACCAGCTCCTTCACTGAGGCTGTGTCCCACAGACCCGCCGACCTGGCAGGCCTAAGGAGGCTCTAGGGCACCCTGGTGTTCACCCAGATGCCTGATCCTGGCTTGGACAGAAACTGCTCATTGACAGCTCCAGTCTCCCCTCTTCCTGCATCAAAGGGCAGCAGGGCTCTGTCAACTACCACTTCCCTTTTATAAATAAGCACATTGCTAACGGAGTCCAGCCTGTCTGGGGGTAAAAACCAAGCTCACACACAGGACTCCGCAGTTATGAAACAAGAAATGACATTTCATTGGACAGCAAAAGTCAGATAAAGACAGGAACGCAGAGGGTAAGAAAGGAGGCGAGGAAATGCCGGCTGTGACAACACAAAAGTTCCAGGACTGTGACAGCCTGAAAGCTCACCGCTGTGCGCCTGCCTCTGTGTCCTGACTCCCAGACCCCCGACAGTGCTAGAAACAGCTCTCCAAACTGCTCTATAAACACTCCATACAGAGCCCATGGAGCCCAGCTTCTGCCAGGATCCAGGCTGCTGCCTTCTAGTGTAAAATCAAGGCTACTTCCAGTCCCCAAGTCAGCTTCCACAACACTAACAACCACTCGGTATGTTGTTCCTAACACCTTTCCAGCATCTCCGCTGCCATCAAATTTTTATTTTCCCTTTTTTTCCAAGATTTATTTTATTTTTTGCTAAAGATTTTATTTTCATTACAAAGTCAGATATACAGAGAGAAGGAGAGTCAGAGAGGAAGATCTTCCGTCTGATGATTTACTCCCCAAGTGGGTATAACGGCCAGTACTGCGCCGACCTGAAGCCGGGAACCAGGAACTTCTTCCGGGTCTCCCACACGGGCACAGGGTCCCAAGGCTTTGGGCTGTCCTCGACTGCTTCCCCAGGCCACAAGCAGGGAGCTGGATGGGAAGTGGAGCTGCCGGAATTAGAACCGGCGCCCATATGGGATCCCACCGTGTTCAAGGTGAGGACTTTAGCCGCTAGGCCATGCCGCCAGGCCCTTTTCAAAGATTTACTTACAGGCCTGGCATGGCAGCTAAAGTCCTCGCCTTGCACACACCAGGATCCCATATGGGCGCCAGTTCTAATTCTGGTGGCCCCACTTCCCTTCCAGCTCTCTGCTTGTGGCCTGGGAAAGCAGTTGAGGGTGACCCAAAGCCTTGGGACCCTGCACCCACGTGGGAGACCCAGAGGAGGCTCCAGGCTCTTGGCTTTGGATTGGCTCAGCTCCGGCCATTATGGCAGCTTGGGGAGTGAATCATTGGACAGAGGATCTTCCTCTCTGTCTCTCCTCCTGTCCATATATCTGACTTTCCAATATAAATAAATAAATCTTAAACAATTTTTATTTACATTTACAGAAAAGAGATTTACCAAGGGATGGAGATACTGGCTCACTTCCTCACCAGTCACAATGGCGTGAATGGGGAGTGGGACAACTGGGATACGAACCAGCACCCCATATGGGATCCTGTTCCCCTCCCCGCTGCTGCAAATAACTTTTTAAAAAACAATAACACAACTCATTCAAATTCTTAAGTTTATTCGGAATACTAGGATAATTTAATATTTAAAAAGCATTTGTCTCTGATTTTGAAAATAGCCTTCATCATTTTTTCAAATGGTCACAGCACAATCCCAGTCCCTATATATCATTTTGAAAAAACATTTTTAACATCATGCCTAATTACATCATGCATTAACAAGTGCAGCACTAATTACAGAAATGGATTTTGGTATAAACCTGAGTTGCTGAGGAGGTAAACTGGTGTCTCACCTGTTGTTTCCTGGTGGGATACTTGTGAAGGTTCGCTCTGAAAAACGGGTACTTCTCAGAGCTGTAGTCATACACCCACTCACAGAAGTGATTGCCAATGTCGAATCCCCTGAAAACAAGAGGAGAGTGTGCACAGGAGGCGGGTGGGCGTGCCCGTGCACGGTGCAAGCGAGCGGCACAGGACCACGACAGGGGAGTCTGAGGGCTCTCCTGCAGTCACAGGCCTGGCAGCACTTTAGGAAAACGCCGTGCAGGAGGCCCTGGAAACCAGGGAGGAAGGGAGCGCTGAGCTGCAGGGCTGCGTCCCTGAGCCTACCTGTAGTTGTAGCTGCTGTACTCAAAGTCAATGAGCATCAGCTTCTCCTTCTCCAAGTGCTCCCGGCCTTCCAGCAGCAGGATGTTTCCTGCAGAGGGGTGGGGACAGAAGGCCACGCGCTGACCTACTAACTGCCGCCTCAGGCCCTCCCTCGGACGTCCCCTGGGGTCCCGGGGCCGCTCCAGGGCTGCCACAGGGCTCCTTCCCTCACCTCTCACCCCAGTGCTCCCCTCAGTACGGGCACGGCCCACACCTCACACCACTGGCTAGCATGACACTTCTGGGCATCCACGCAGCAGTTCACTGAGCTCAGAGGCCTAAGAGGGTCTGGCTGGGGCATGATGGTGGAGTGCTGTCCTTGGTGAATAAGCCAGTGACACACCCAGACACTGAGCAGGCACAGGGCTCTCTTCCAGGTCACAGGGGTCTGGCTGCTAGCCCCAGGGGCTGCCGACCCGAGAATCCCACACGCCAAAGTGGTCCCATCTTGAGCTCCTAGGGCCAGCCTTTGCTCACTGTGCTTGCTCTCTGCCTATGCTTTGCTGTGCGAGCTGGTGCCAGGCTCTCTGCATACCTCTTTGCATCAGTTTCCCATGGGAAGCAGGAAGCAGCCTCCTAGGCAATGGCCATAGCGGAGCAAGGCCCCGCTCTGTGCTGCCTGTGAGCTGCCCCAGCACTGTGGACAGCAGATCAAAGGGTCTTAGGGATCAAACTGCTCAGCCTGGCTGAGTCAGGCCTGGGACCGGTCCTGTTCGCTAACTGCTCTCCGAGGGATAAAGCGGGAGAAATGATGTATGATGGAGAAGCTCAAGGTCTTGGTCCAAACTCCAAAGTTTAATGAATTTGGGGACTTTTCTACATGGATATGTGTTTAAGGAAATGGGCTGACACCCTAACAGGGTTTTCTAAAACTTATTTTGCTTCCTTCATTTATGCTGCAAATTTTCCTGCTGTGAGGTCTAACAGTCCTTCTCGTCTCCTGCCTGGTTCCCCACAGAGCCTCAACAGAGGCTCCTGCTCCTCTGCTCACAGTTCCCCCAAGTGCAGAGCCCACCATGTGTGCACACACACACAGTTCTTACCTTCTTGGCAGTCATTATGACAAAACACAACTGGAGATGGAGTCGACTCAAGCAGTGACCTGGAGGAGAAGGTTCTGCTGTGAAGAAAGGCCTCGGCCGTTCCTGGGCACAGTGCTGGGCTGCGGGGTCATTTCTCCCAGTGAGTCAGAAACCTGTCCTTACAGTGGTCTTTGAGGAGACCCCACCTCAGCTCTATCAGAAACCCAGGCTCCAGTCACGCCCCCTGCCCCCCAACACTCATCGCTGACTTGACTGACTGACCTCTCTCTGCCCTGGTAAGCCGCCCTGTCACCATCCTCCACACCAGGCCTGCACCCTGTGGGCACCACACCTAGCCTGCACACCAGGCCTGCACCCTCCCCAGAGATCAGTGTCAAGGTCCTTGCCCGACATTTCCCCCTCTGCAGAACTTCCAATGCTTGAGTAGATGCCACGTGACAGTGCCCGGGGATCAAAGCAGTTGTTCAAACTCATCCTGCAACATGCGGGCTGAGGTGTGTGCTCACCGCAGCTTCTGAAGCTCCAAGGGCAGATTGTAAGCGAGGAACTTCTGCAGCTGCCTTGCTTTGGGCTCCTCAGTGAACTTTATCCTCAGCACCTGAGTCAGGTACCTGTGAACAAGGAGATGCAAGGGATCATGGCTCCACTCCCCAGGGGCCCTCCCGAGGCCGCAGGGAACCCTGCACGGCCAGCACCACACTGGCTGGAAAAGAGGGGCAGGCCTGGGGAAGCACAAGAATTATAAAAAGGTTTTGTTTGTTTTGGCCTGCTCAGCTATTAAGCTGCATCTTTGCAAGCAAGTCTTCTTTCTTGGCATTTACAAGGCTGCTCCTTGAGGCCGACCCCACCAGCAGACGGCCTGACACCAATGAGCCCAAGGCGCACCTGCCCACAGAGGCCAACAGCTCTTGCTCCTGGTGCTGCCGGGAACCTCCTATGCAAAACCAGAGGAAACAAAGTGACCCCAGCACTTACTTCTCCATGGTTCCAAAAAGCCATTTGGGTTCCTTATTGAATGGCATTTTCATACCATGAAATGTGGCCATTTTCTCAGCTATTTCAGCAGAAATATCTGGCAAACTTAATTCTTCAGTGTCTAATCGCCGGCTCTGAAAAACAAGTCAGAAACTGACACCATCTCGCTGTATCTTAAGAACCAGTCAAGTCCGTGTTGGGCTCCTCTTTAAAAACGTGAGAGGCAGAGAGACAAACGAGGGGCACCTTCCCCAAGTGCCTGCACCAGTCAGGGCTGGACCCTGTGTCCACAGCAAATGCTATGGCACTTCCACCACGGCCTGTCTTTAAATTGTACTGAACTAGGGCACGTGCTGTGGCAAGCTGTAGGGACTAAAACTGGCACCGAGCGGGAGCCTGCAGGTGGAGGGTCAGCTGTCCCACTTCTGACGGCCAAGTTCTGGGTCCCTGCATCCACATGAAGACATGGAGGAAGCGCTCAGTTTCTGGCTTTAGCCCGGCCTAGTGCTGACCAGTGCGACCACCTGGAGTGAACCAGCAAATGCAAGACCTAACTGCCTTTAAAAAAAGCAAAAAAAATTTTGAAAAATACAAAAACATTAATAAAAATGAACTAAAAAATTACTTTCTCAAATCTATGATTCTACCTTCTAAAATCCAAAGAATTAGTGTATTTAAGGGCCAGCACCACGATATAGCATGTTAAGCCTCCACCTGGAGTGCTGGAATCCTGTATGGATACCAGTTCAAGTCCCAGTTGCTCCACTTCTGATTCAGCTCTTTGTTAATGGCCTGGGACAGCAGTGGAGGACAACCCAAGTGCTTGGACACCTGGCAGAAGCTTCTGGCCCCAGGTTTTATTTATTTATTTATTTTTAAAGATTTATTTTTATTATTTTTTTATTGGAAAGGCGGATATACAGAGAGGAGAGACAGAGAGGAAGATCTTCCGTCCGATGATTCACTCCCCAAGTGAGCGCAACGGGCCGATACTATGCCGATCCGAAGCCAGGAGCCTCTTCTGGGTCTCCCACGCGGGTGCAGGTTCCCAAAGCCTTGGGCCGTCCTCGACCGCTTTCCCAGGCCACAGGCAGGGAGCTGGAAGGGAAGCGGGGCTGCCGGGATTAGAACCGGCGCCCATATGGGATCCCGGGTGTGCAAGGCGAGGACCTTTAACCACTTCGCCACCGCGCCAGGCCCGGCCCCAGGTTTTAGACCCAGCACCAGCCACTGCTGCCATTTAGGGAATGAACCATCAGATGAAGATCTCTCTCCAACTCTCCTTCTCTCTGTGACTCTGCCTTTCAAATAAAGAAATAAATCAATGAAAGAGAGGAAAATAAACAGTCTATTTGCACACAGGCCACCTGGCTGGCAGCTTACTTGAGCCAGCTGCAATAAGCAGATGCGGTGCTTGGCATGCAGCTTAGCCAGGAGCCCCGCTCAAGGCGCCTGCAGTGTCCGCTGTCCGAGCTGGCACAGGGCAGGCTGCTCAAGACCCTGGTTTTCCCTGTGCAGCCTCACGCCCACTGCAGCTCATGGGAGCTACTGATGCATGAAGATCTTTGTGTCTTTCTTCTTCATGAGAAATGGTGCTCTACAGACCCCGAGACCCAGCGCTCCCAGGTTAGACACACCCCAGCCCACAGCTACAAGCCCAATTTAGGGCTGTGTCTTCCGATTTCTATGAAATGTGAATTGCAGCACAAAACCCCTCAAGGGGCCCATGCTGTGGCATTGCACTTAAGCTGCTGCTTGTAAGGCCACCATTCATATGTGAACACTGGTTTGAGTCCAGGCTGTCATTTTTTTTTTAAGATTTCTTTATTTTTATTGTAAAGGCAGAATTACAGAGAAGATCTTCCATCCACTGGTTCACTCAAGTGTCCCCAAAGGCCTGAGCTGAGCCAATCCAAAGCCAGGAACCAGGAACTTGTATGCAGGGGTCCAAGTCTCTGGGCTGTCCTCCACTACTTTTCCAAGCAGGGATCTGGATGGGAAGTGGAACAGCTGGGACAAGAACTGAGCCCATATGGGGTCCTGGCACATGCAATGTGAGGATTTAGTCACTAGGTCACTGTACCAAGTGTGCTGTCTCACTTTTTTTTTTTTTTTTTTTTTTGATGACCAGGTCTGTTTAATTTGTTTTTCTATTAATTTTTTTTTCTTTTTTTTTTTTATTGTTATTAACATTGTATTATGTGATACAGTTTTATAGGCACTGGGGATTCCCCCCACCCCTCCCATACCCCTTCCCCCATAGTGGATTCCTCCACCTTGCTGCATAACCACAGTGCTGTCTCATTTTTGATCAAGCTTTCTGGTAAGGAAGCGACAGCCCGAGGACGTGGACCCTTGCTGCCCACGTGGGAGACTGGCTCCTGGCCCAGCCTGTGTCAGGCTCAGCTGTTGCAGCCATTGGGGAGTGAATCAGTGGACGGACAGATTCTGCCTTCCTCTCCTTATCTTCCTCTTGGCCTTTAAAATCAACATACCCATCCCCACCCTTGCCTAGACAAATGGGACTAATGGCATAGGGCTCCATGAACTACTCAGTCCTGACCAATGACCACGCCACACGTGACAAGGGCAAGAACCTCAGCTCCCAGCAGCAGGGTAGTCAGGACCTGCTGCGGCAGTTCCCTCTGCCTTCAGAACTGCCCTGATAGTCACACACTGCTTGGTGACAGGGAGACCTTTTGTGGCCACACATCCGGGCTGTGAGGGATGCAACACGTGCCTACTGCTTTAGGGCCATGGTGAACAACACAAGCTCATGGCAAACACAAGACAAAACAATGAAATCAAGAGACGTGGTCACACAAGACACACAAACAAGGCAGTTGGAGTGTAAGAAGCCACACTGTTTTATAGGCAGCAGACACTACTGGTCAAGTGTGTGTGCCATAGGCTCACACCATCACGCAGACACTAGGGGCGTGCGTCAGCACTGCCCGGGACATGCCTGCACTGTAGTTGGCTGGTGTGGTTGTCTCGTGTTGAAGCTTCGATGCTCAGAGAAGCAACCCCACCATTCCAACTTGCTTCCTGGTACAGAAAAGAGAGAAGGCTATTCCCATTCCAGATTTTTAAAGCTATGCTTATGTATTTATTTGAACAGGGGTGGGAAGGAGAGGGGGAAAAAGAGAAAATCTTTCACCCACTGAATGACCACTCAAACCCCATAAAACCCCAATGTCTGCTACAGCCTGGCCAGGTCAAAGCCTGGAGCCTAGAACTCCATCCAGGCCTCCTGTGGGAGCTGCAGAGTCATCATCTACTGCCTCCTGGTGGCCCAGCAGGACGCTGGTTGTGGCAGAGGAGCAGGGCAGGAACTTGGGTGTCCATGTGGCAGCCTCCCCTGCTATGGAACCACACTCGCACCCACCTACCCTTAGCTCCTTCCACAGGCTTCCTGGAACCCACCTACAGCAATACATCCCACCCCAGGCAGTGCTCAGGGCTAACTGGAAATAACAGGTGCATATGCCAGGTCAGAAGTGTCCAACTGGGGCAGTTCCAGATGGTCCCAACTCACAATGTAAAAGCAATCTTTTTCTTTTTACTTATTATTATATGTTACAGTTCCATAGGCCCTGGGATTTCCCTTACCACCTCCCCCACCACCAAGTTTCCCTATATTATCATTATAGCTCTTCATACACAGTCATATGTCCATCATTGAGGACATGGACAACGGCAGAGTCCAGCATCCTATTGTCAAGATATAGTAAACAGTTTCATTAGGAGTCCATTTTTGATCAAGAAGTAGAGGTGAATACTGGATTGTATCCTCACATCTGGATAGGATAGTCTCCACTACAGTTACTATAAATTCCCTTAAATGAAAAGCCACAAAACAAAATCAACAACAGGAAGAAATTAAAAACATGAAGTTAAATAACATGGTACTGAATGGCATGTCACTGAAGAAATGCATAGAAAAATCAAGAACCTTCTTGAAAATGATGCTACTGCATGATGTACGAGTCATTGAAAAGTGTAAGCAGGGCCTGGCGGCGTGGCCTAATGGCTAAAGTCCTTGCCTTGAACGCGCTGGGATCCCATATGGACGCCGGTTCTAATCCCACTTCCCATCCAGCTCCCTGCCTGTGGCCTGGGAAAGCAGTCGAGGACGGCCCAAAGCCTTGGGACCCTGCACCCATGTGGGATACCCAGAAGAGGCTCCTGAATCCTGGTTTCGGATCAGCGCAGTACCAGCCGTTGTGCTCACTTGGGGAGTGAATCATCGGATGCAAGATCTTCCTCTGTGTATATTTGACTTTCCAATAAATAAATAAATCTTTGAAAAAAAAAGTGTAAGCAGAATAAAGTGTTTTGAAGAGAGGAGAAATGGCTCCTTCTTCCCTCAGAGTGAGTCCGCCATGAGGGAACTTGGGAACTGGATTAAATTTCTAGCTCCACCCTGCCGCTAAGATCTTGAAGCTGGGCGAGCTTGGGAGGGGTACAGGCGTTGGGGTTGGGGGCCACTGCAGCTCCCTGCAGTGTGGCAGCTGTGGGGGTGCCCCTGCCAGGTGAGACTCAATGCTAGGGACTCAAGCCAAAGACACTGCTGGAAGGCAGTGAACGAGACCTCGGCTTTGGGCGGCCAGTGCACCAGGTGGTGCCAGGCTTTGGCTGCTGGCCGCCCAGCAGCGAATTCTGGGGTTTTTTAAGATACGTAGTTGCTGCCTGGGGACACCAATGAATAAGGCAAGTTTTAGTGTATGTGAGAGATGAATACTGAGTCATTCCCAGTGATAGGGTCATAAAACTTTCTCTCATGGTTGGGGACTGAGACCTGGTGGTTTGGAGGGAAGTATCCATAAGATAATTTGGGTCAGACCGATTCACAATTCACCAGTCCAATTAAGAATCCAGAGATGGGCTATTAGCATAGATTACCACTGACGGCCACACACCAGTCCACACCAAAGCTACGGATGGGGGCCTGTTTGGCAGGGCTATGTACCACTACCCGACCGGGTGGTGGAATTGTGGAGTGGTCACATTTGGCAGAGTCAAGACACTATCCAGCACGTGAGAGAATTTTGTCTGGAGATAGACTCTGTGGGATTATGTGGGTCCAACCCTATGGAAATACAAGTCCTGCTGCTTAGATTACAAGCTGGGG